ATAGACACGGCATATCCATACACTAGTACAAGGTAAAAAAAAAAAAAATGTAGCACGGAAAGCAATCTATTGAATGGCATCTGATTTGGACTCTGTTCGTAACCTTTTGAGTTATCTTGCTAACCAACGAACAAACAAACTAACCAACGCAACAAAAAACATAACCCTCTTGGCGGAGGTAATAATAATTATTATAATTATTATTGTTCTTCTAATAACAATAAAAGATTATGATAATAATAGTAATAAGGACAACAATAACAATAATAATAATAGTAATGATGATAACTATAATAATAAAGATAATAACAGTACTAATAATGCTAATGATACTAATCATAGATGTAGTACTAGTTAGTAATGACAATAATGATAAAATTAACGAACATAATAAGGAAAGTAAAATTTATAATTATAACAATGAGCATGATGATGATAAAAATAATAATAATGATGAAAATAATATTATTGATAATAATAAAATGATAATAACAATAATAATGATGATAATAATAATAATGATAATAACAATAATAATAATGATAATAATAATGATAATAATAATAATGATGACAATAGTAATGATAATATTGATAATGATTATAATCCAGATTGGAGAACACGCAAATGCCGATCTTCAATCCTTCTGCAGATATTTGAATACCAACATAACTAAAACACACACACACACAACAAAAATACATCTACATTTAAAAACAAACTTGAATAGCAGTCACTTGAATATTGAGTCCCTTCAGAACAGCAGGTCTAATTTTGATGAAAAACTATCGCTGTCGCTCGTAACTTACATGTCCCTCGTTCGCAGGTCGCAGCCCATTTCCTGCCGTTGCTCGCGACGCATCTGAAAAAAGGCATATTTCCCAACCGGGATTATATGGTGATAATAGTGATAATAATAATGGCAATGATAGTAATGATAATGATAATAATAATAATAATAATAATAATAATAATAATAATAACAACAATGATAATGATGATAACATAATGATAATAACAATCATGATAATAATAACAGAAATGTTGATAATAACAATAATGATAATGTTAATGGCAACAAAAATGATAATGATCATAATGAGGATAATGAAAAGTAGTATTTATGATAATGATATCAACAATAATAATAAATTACTGTAATGGCGATACTAGCAATACTACTACTACTACTACTACTAATAATAATAATAATAATAATAATTAATGAGAATAAAAAGTAATAATAAAGCTAACAACAATGATACTAGAAATAGTAAAAATGATAATCATGGTGATTAGGATAGTAATGATAATAATAAAAAGGATAATGACAAAAATGTAGTAATAATATTAATGATAAAAATATTAATAAATATAATTATAGGAATAATAATGATAATAATAATAAAAGTAATGATAATAACGATGACAATAAGTATAATAATGATAATGATGATAGACTCTTATTATTTTTATTACAATAACAATAATAACCATGATATTAATATTAATAATATAATAATAATGAAATGAAATGTTAATGATAATAATAATGCTGATAATAATAATGATGATAATAACGTTAATGATAACAATGGAAATAGCAATAATAATTATAGTAATGATATTGATCATGATAATCACACAACAGTGATATTATACTTCTAATGATAATTATAATAGTAATGATAGTAATGGTAATGGCAATGGCAATGGCCATGCTAATAAAAATAATAATAATAATAATAATAATAAAAATAATACAAATAATTATCATTATCATTATAAGGATAATAATGATAATTTTAGCGAACCGCAGACCCAGTAAACTTTAAGCTGTCTGGTTGAGTTCGGCCTCAACCGAGAATATCGATTTTTATTCAGGAAAAGATTCGTCTGCAGTGAACAGATGTAAGATTCCACGCCTTCGGAACGCTGCCACCACCCGATTAGTAGGTTCGGGAGCCGTGTTTGTTGTGTATGTGGGTGTGAATATTGTTTAAGAGGAGGGTAGAAGGATAACACAGTGTGCTGAATATTTGATGTGTAAGTGTGTAAATGTGAAAAGGGACGTAGTTGGAAGAAACATGCACGATCATAGTATTCTTCTCTTCGAATTGAACGTTAGTGGTGGCAAATATGAGTAATTTATATTTCAGTTTGGAACTGATTAAAAGCTCTTTGATGGTACGATGTTTATTCAAGGAGTTGGTTGCATTTCTTAGGGGGTTACAGGAATTTTCAGTCAAGGAAAAGTAGAAAAAGATGTATGCAGCACCAATTTATAACAGCCGAGGTGGTGCACACGAAACCAACACCGGATAACCTTACAACGAAATGCAAAAATGTGTTTCCCTAAGTTGGTGTCCCAACTTCAGAAGTACTGTTACTAAGGGGTCAGTATATTCAGGTCCCTGATTTGCGTTAAGGTGTGAATATTCAACCCAAATGGATATTAACAAAGTAAAAACAAAATTTGAGAGCTAATACTGACGGGCATCTGATAGCAATACGATATGACGGCCAAGTTTCTCTCTAAGGAGATACGGATCACAAAGACTGCCTGAGCACCCACAAGGTCTGACAGAAATCAACAGAAACCATACATTTGCCGAAACAAGACAAACGGAAACCTATATCGATAAAATAAGTAAGATGATCCTGACAAAGATCTTTATATTTAAACACGGACGCAATGAAACTAAGTAATAGCTTAGTTGTAAAAACACTGGAGGTACGGATCCTCAAGCAGGGACGAAAGAAAACTAAGTAATAACTTAGTTGTAAAATTGATAGTCCCACTGGAGGTACGGATCCTCGTGCAGTGTTCTTCTAATTCACTTGGTCCTTCTACTGCTAACACTTGGAAAAATACTGCCATGGGACTTCACGAAAGAGTGCACCCTGCAGATAATAATGCAGTATGTCACACGCTAAAGTCCAAAGAGACCAGTCGTCTCCTACACACAACCAGCCCAATCACTTAGGCCCGTACTTTAAAAGTCTACCGCCAGCACTGGCGGTGGATCAGTTTCGTACTTTAAAAACCCGAACTTCGAACGCCTAGCGTTCCGACGCCCCGAACTGGCGTTACATTATTGGAACCTGAGTGGCGGTGGAGCGCAAGCATGAATGTATCTTTCATGGTGGCGTTCGACATTTTTTTTTTTTTTTTTATCTAATATTAAATTTTTACGCAATAATCAGGTTGTGTCCTTAAAGGCAAGAAGGTTTTTTTGTCAGATTTATTTAAATATTTCGTTTTTATTTATAAAATAGAATATTTTTCGAAGACTTAATTACATATTTTGGATTGTATCCCAAGTTGAGTCGTCAGCGAAAACGCTCCCCATATTTAAACCATATTTATCATTGTTTTGTTTACTTGCAAACAATGGCGATTCTGATATATTTCAAAACGCGTTTCTTGATATGACGAACACGATGGTAACATAAACAAATCGCAAAAAAATCACACTTCGTGGGACAAAGCAATGCCGAAATATTACTTGGTAGACTGATGCCTTCACATATGACTTATGCAGCTGATATCTATCTTTCCAGGTGGCAGAAATGGCAGAAATTTTAGCAGATATAGAAGAAATCAATCAGCTTGTAGAAATACACAACATAGCAGTAATACAGCTTCCACGAGTGGTGATAACTGAAAGAAATAATTTATTTCTGAGCCTGAGTGACGAAGAATTCGTCGCTCGATTCAGGATCTCGAAGGACAGTGTGAAATTTATATTGAATGACAGTTTGTCAGTAGATGCATCAAGGAAACTTTGTTGTCAGTTGCTCGTACATTTAAAAGTCATGTTGCATTTCCAGATAGGCTAGCCATTCATGCTACCAATCGAAAATTTCAGGGCATAGCAAATTCTCCTGGTGTAATTGGGGCAATCGACTGCACGTGAAGGAACGTGCAGAAAAATTCAGATGCCGAAAAGATTTTTTTTCATTAAATGTTCAAGGTGTATGTGGCCCTAACCTTGAATTTTATAATATCGTTTGTCGGTGGCCCGGTTCTGTGCATGATAGCAGAATTTTTACAGTGACCTGTGTATGAAACTGGAGCAAGGCCAGTATACAGGTCATATGCTAGGGGATTCTGCTTATCCTCTACGACCATACCTAATGACACCAATAAGCAACCCTGCCACAGACTCTGAAGTAAGGTATAGTGCAGCACACGCCAAGACAAGAAATATTATAGAGAGGGCATTTGGTGTATGGAAGGAAAGGTCCAGAGTACAGTTACGACTGAATACGTCTATGTTGGCAATATGCAGTGCTGCTGTTTTACCCAATATTGCTATCAAACACAGGGACGTTGTTTCATCAAATGATGGAGAAACTAGATTTCATAATGAATATGATGAAGGGGAAGGAGCTGCTAACACCAGCAGAGCAGAAGGTTTAAGGAAAAGAGCCATTGTCAGTAGTGTGTATTCTTAAGTACACCATTTTTATAGATGCAAGTTGATATAATCATTTGTGTATATTACATTTGATATTGTATATTGTTTTTGGTGGGAGTTTTCTGTGCAAGATTTGTATAACCTTTTTGGTGCAAGATGTGGTTGTGAAGTGGCAGGAGGACATGTATTTGTACAGGGATGTACAAAGACAGTATAGTTTTAAAGGTTATGGGAATATATGTGTAATCTTTCTTAATATTAGGTGTGAACATACCAAAAATAAAACTAGAAAAGATTATGAGACAAATGTTTTATTTACCGTCTTTACTAAATGCAGATTCCTATTCCTATTTTTTTTTTCTCCCAATATTACATTTGGAGTTGTAACACTTCCATTTGTTTCTCATGATATTCCATTCGTTTTTCATGATATTCCCTTAAAACTCCATTTGTGTTTTGTGAAATATTTCATCCAATTCCATTTTCTTTCTGCATCGAACTGCAGCTTCATGAAGAGCAGCGTCGTAAGCTGCATCTTTCTTTGCCTTTCTCTTTCTTTTCGGTGCCGTGCTGTGAGGAGCACGTAGGCCTAGCACTTTCTTCCTCACAACTAGGTCCTTGGGCTACTGCTTCCTCATTAGATGTGAAAATCACCTCTGATAAAACCAGGGTATCGCCATCTTTTGGTAAATCTTGAACCACAGGTGGAGTGGCAATCGGGATTGGCCCAGGATTGCTATCAGCGAATGAATCTGAAATCAGAAAATGCAAACATCAGACAAGCACATTTGTGTAAAAATAGATACACTTTCTATACCCCTCTACACACAGCTTATTGAAACAAAGTTTCATATATAAAGCTATTACTCAAAAGAAATAACATTACCGGTAATGGCATTAGATTCATCATGTATTCCAGCATCCGAATCACACACATTCGCCAGTGGCTCCAATTCGCCTTCAATGAGCTGCAGCACCTTTTGCGTGATGTTATCTAGGGACTGTGGTGGTGGACCTCCCCAGTTTTCTTTATTTTCCGCTTATAGCATGAATAATGGTTCTTTGCTCCGTGGACTCCGTGAAACACTAGTATTAATAAATATTAAACTATGGATGCATCTTTAATTTCAGTATAGGTCATTAAAGGTAAATCTGTATGCATTTAAGAATCATAATACAACTTACGATTTTCGAAGGGATTCCCAGACCTTTCTAACCTGGATGGGAGATTTCCTACAGCTGTTTTAGAAAAAAAAGATATTTGCAATGTCTTGCCAACACTGCTTTTTTCAGCTTTACCAATACCTGATGACTTGTCATTTATTATCTCTATGTGATCTTTGACAATTTCGAGGAGGCACTCCTTTTCAAAAGTGCCAATTGGTGCTGCTCTTGGCGCCATG